GTGCGATACACAGAAAACGAGGTTGATTAAACACTAAAGCAGATCTAATTGATAAGTAAACGGAACGAATTTACAAAACATAAGAAATAAACAAATATTTGCCATATTCATGTATCTTCCCCTAACGTAAGGAGGGAAGGCGATGTCTGAAGCTCAGCACAACTGAAAGACAATATACCACATAGTGATTGATCAAACAGTGTTAGAGAAATGTATTATGAGCAAAACACTTATTCCACCAAACCATATGAATGACTACTCCAATATAAACTGTGAGAATGTTTAAACTATTTACTCTAATATAAACTGTGAAATTAAGTGAAATGTCTCTTCACAATAGAATGAAATAGCTTAAAACACATCAATAAAGTCAGATAAACCCGAGTTACATAACACACATGACGCTCAAAACTGAATTCATTAAATATATCTTGTGCTACTTACCAAATTGTTAGAATGAATAAACTGCTCATTGACCATAATGTGAAACATGTTAAAATACATTACTACAGGGAGTTTAACCTGAGGTACGCAACAGACTTGACACACAAAACTGTATTAATTAAACAAACTCTAACCAGAAATAATTATTCAAACAATTGTAACTCTGCCCTGGGAATCAGAAGATCTTCATCTAGAAGAACCATAACGCTTCATGATGAAATCTGGGTTTCTTTTGAAGATCACGAAGCGGATGCCCCTTCTGACAACCGGCGCAACCAATTATTTAGGTACATCGAATGCTCGTACAATGTGGGAAACAGGGAGAGTATTCTAAATGGCTGTAGAAATGAGAAGACACAACCTGGAGGTGCTTAGGATCAATGAAACACATTTGATGCAAGTTGGACAACAACGACTAGCTTCAGGAGAGCTTCTGTTATACTCCGGCCATGAAGAAGAAAATGCCCCACATACACGAGGAGTTGCACTGATGCTGTCCAAACAAGCACAAAATGCACTAATAGTATGCGAATCTCATAGAACAAAGACCACCAAAGCCTCCTTCAAAACAAAGAAAGAGGGCACTACAATGAACGTCATCCAATGCTATGCGCCTACAAGCGACTACAATGAGGACGTTAAAGATCATTTCTACGATAGGCTGCAGTCAATCGTCGAGAAGTGCCCAACAAAGGATTTGACCATTCTGATGGGAGATCTAAATGCCAAGGTTGAGATGGACATCACCGGATATGAAGACATCGTGGGACGACACGGACTGGGAGAAAGGAACGAAAATGGAGAGAGATTCGTAAACCTATGTGCCTTCAATAAACTGGCGGCACTATTTTCACACATAAACGCATTCACAAAACCACATGGACCTCACCGAATCACACCACGCGATACCAAATCGACCATATCACCGTCAACAAAATGTTCAGAAAGACGATGGAGGAAGTTAGAACGAGGAGAGGATCCGGTATAGCATCAGATTATCACTTGCTGGTCACCAAGATTAAATTGAAACTCAAGACGTACTGCACAACGGGGAGGGCAATATCAGAAATGTTTAATACGGCTTCACTTCGTGGTACTGATAAACGCAACGAATTCAAGATAGTCCTCAGCAGTAAGTTCCAGGCCTCGCATGATCTACTCAATGAAGAAGAAACCACTATGGAGAGCAAATGGAAAGGAAACAAAGAGGTAATCACTTCAACATGCCATGAGGTTCTGAGCCACAAGAAGCATCATCACAAGGAATGGATCCCTGTTGGTACACTGGATAAGATTCAAAAGAGGAGGAACAAGAAGGCAGCAATGAATACCAGCCGAAAAAGAGCAGAGAAAGTCAAGGCACAAGCTGAATACACAGAAAGTAACAAGCAAATGAAGAGGAGCATCAGAACCAACAAATGTCAATATGTGGAAGACGGCGAATAAGGCTGTAAGAGAAGGAAACATGAGACAACTGAATGACACGACAAAGAAACTGTCTGGAAATCATCGTACACTAGAACGACAAATGAAAAGTAAGGAAGGCAAGGTAGTCACTATTACAGAAGAACAACGAAACAGGTGGGTACAGTATATAAAAGTACTATTGAATCGACCAGCTCCACATTCTGTTCAGCAATGTTTGAGATGGGGAACAAGTACCAACAGACTGAAAAGAAGAACTTCTGGTCAAAATGCTAAAGAAAGACGATCTCAGCAACTGTGATAACTACAGGGGCATCACTCTTCTCCCAGAACCGGGAAACGTCTTCAACAGATGATTGTTGAACAGAATGAAGGACTCCGTAGACACCCAACTTTGAGACCAACAGGCAGGATTCCTTCAAGATAGATCGCAACTCTACGGGTCATTGTGGAACAATCAATTGAATGGAATTCATCTCTCTACATCAACTTCATTGACTACGAAAAAGCATTTGATAGCGTGGACAGAAAAACACTATGGAAGCTTCTTCGATACTACTGGGTGTCTCAGAAGATAGTCAATATCATACGGAATTCCTATTATGGATAAGACTGCAAAAATATGCATGGAGGACAATTGACAAAGTTGTTCGAGGTGAAAACCGGTGTCAGGCAAGGTTGCTAACCCTCACTTTTTCTCTTTCTCCTGATGACTGGCTGTATCATGAAGACGTCAACATCTGAAGGAATGCACGGGATACAGTGGATATCTAGGATGCAGCTGGACGATCTAGACTTCGCAGATGATCTGGCCCTCCTATCGCAATTGCAACAACAAATGCAGGAGAAGACGAACAGTGTAGCAGCAGCCTCAGCAGCAGTAGGTCTCAATATACACAAAGGGAAAAGCAAAATTCTTCGATACAACACAGCATGCACTAATCCAATCACAATTGACCGAGAAGATTTGAAAGATGTTAAAACCTTTACACATTTGGGAAGCATCATCGATGAACAGGGTGGATCTGATGCAGATTTGAAGGCGCGAATCAGCAAAGCAAGAGCAGCATATTTACAACTGAAGAACATCTGAAACTTAAAGCAACTGTCAACCAACACCAAGGTCAGGATTTTCAATACAAGTGTCAAGACAGTTCAACTGTATGGGGCAGAAACCTGGAGAACTAAGAAAGTCATCATCCATAAGATACAGGTTTTCATTGACAGTTGTCTACGCAAAATCCTTTGGATCCGTAGCCTGGACACTATTAGCAGCAACCAACTGTGGGAAAGAACAAAACAGATCGTAGTGGAGAAAGAACTCAAGAAGAAGCGCTGGAAGTGGATGGGATACACATCGAGGAAAGCACCCAACTGCGTCACAAGACGTGCCCTCACATGGAATCCGCAAGGCCAAAGGAATATTTGAAGACCAAAGAACACATTACGCCGGGAAATGGAGATAGACATGAGAAAAATGAACAAGAATTGAATGGAATTGGAAAGGAAATCACAGAACAGAGTGGGTTGGAAAATGCTGGTTTGGCGGCCCAACCTCTATTGTGAGTAACAGCCGTAAGTTAGTAAGTTAGTAAGTTAATTTAAAACATTCATCTACATAAAGAATGCTAAAGCGCTGGCCAAGATTGTGCAGCCAACTCCTACTGGTCTCAGGTTTCTAGTTGTTACCAGTGACTTCACAATACTTTTGATGTCTGCCAGCGATTCCCGACACAATGTTTCCTGGAGTCATCATCAAATCCTTTTCTCTTCACGATTCCGAGCTAGCGAATAACTCAAGACTCTGTTTGATTCCCACAATTTATGTCCTATCGACCTATAGAGTCTTGTCGCAATTTCGTTCAGGGCGATGGATTGATTTGTTCTAAACATCAAGAGTGTCATGATTGCTTGATTGTTTATAAATTCGTGTGCCTGTTTGATGTTGGCCGAAGTAATTCTTCCAGTTTCGACTCCGTAATTTACAACAATTTCGACGTGCGTATTGAAGTTTCTGATTATGATGCTGAATGACCGTTGGTTTGACTTTCAAAGCCATTTTAATGGATTAATAACAACATAGCAAATAAATAATTACGGCTACACTTGTTTATAAGAATAATTGAAATTCACTTCATAGGATTCAATAGCATTTTGACGAGGTATTTAGGTTTATGCCAGAATAAATGTACTCAGTGAAAATGATCATTGTGTAGAATTATCTTTCATCCAAAATGATTGTCTACTCAGTTTAAGAATGTAGATCATTATCAACAAGTGAAAATAAACGAAACGGGGATTGAAACAGTTTGTCTTGCCGTCTGTCACATTGCTCCTAATCAATAAACTAACTGAGATATTATTAATCAACATGAACACAAGAACCAAGATGGCTAACAGGAATACCGGAGAGAGGAAATGAATCCTGATGAGATATAGTAAATATATTAGTTAGACAATTAGGATCACGTTGTTTCTGTGTGATGTTTAACTAAAATTGATCAAATTTGTGATAGAATGAAGCTATGAATCGATTTCTCATTGAGATATTTCAATAAAGATTGGTTGTCCGTTTGTAGTGTCATCTAAGCGCGTATTTTTAGTTCTTGCTGTCTGGGTCAAATACCTCAGTATTTTGCAGGTTTAATGGCGAGAAAATTCCAACTTAATCGGTTTAACCTGACATCGTTTATTCTCTCTTTGAGGTTACCGTGATTTGTTAAACAACTAGTCTGGTCCGACTGTTATTCTTCACATATAAATATCTCAACAAGCGATTGTGCAGTCAGACATTTATTTTCAATGTGGTATGCCGATAGATATTACAGAGATAATGAATGTTCTTATCTTGTCTTTTTGTCTGGTTATTTTCATTCTCCACTCTCAGGAATATGCGTCAGTATACTAACACCTCTCCCTGTGAATTACACATTATACAGATGAACGGTTATCATGGGTAAACGTGTTTAACCATTTGATTCGTGTGTAGTGTTTATTCGTTTACAAAGATAGTTTGAAATAAGTTCCGTTAATCGGTAAAAGTAGAATGATGTAACTGAAATATAACATTGTTATGCTTTGATCCCTGTTTATTTGTTTCTTAATTCATATATCCTTTTACAGTTGAAATTATGTCGAAAACTCCATCATCAATATCAGTTATTGTTACTGGTCTACCAAGAACCGGAACGACCAGTATGAAAAAGGCATTGGAAATAATTTACAATCAACCTTGTTATCATGGTTATGAACTTGTGACCAGAAAACAATGTGACATTGCTAAATGGCAAATGCTTATCGATGAAGTTCGAACAACACGTTGCGAGGAGAAGATACATGAATGTTTGAGTGAAATGTTGGTTGGCTACCGATCTGTGGGTAATATCCAAGTGTGTTGGTTATACAAGGAATTGATGACTTTATACCCTGATGCAAAAGTGAGTCGAGAGTTCTTATTATGTGGATGATTATAATCTCTGGACTCCATTATTTCGAATTAGTGATATCTCTGAAACTCTTATTTCTTACATGGATATATATCGCAACGTTTGAGAACGGGTGTCAATTATCTGGTGTTTAGATATATCGTTACCACGTACTTCATTTACCTAGTGTTATAATAACAAGTACTGGGAAATTCGGTTGCTTCGTTATTTGCAAACGATGCTTCGTACACCAATTCAACCAAAGTGTAACTTGTTAATAAAATTAATAGTGAGAACTTCCTGAATTGAAAAGTAATATTTTCGTCACTTTTCGAAAGCATCCTCGCTCTTTCCCTTATAATCACTGAAATTCAACAATAGGGCAATCTGTAACTATTGCGGATAATCAATATTGCTGATCTGTGTTGACATTATGGCTAAGTAAACGTTTTATGGAGAAAGACATAAGAACTGAGTGGCAGATGAACTACTGCACACGCCAGTTGATTGTGTGTAACTGACTAGTCTTAGCCAGTCGTCATTGACTTGGGTGATGTTATCACGAATGATCAATTGGTCGGTCAGACAAACTTGATCCTTAAAATAGACCAAAGTGATGTTTTAGTATATATCTTTGAATGACTTTTGAAATGTGTTATTTCTATATCGATAATGCTTTAATATACCATAAATCTCGTTTTATACAGGTTGTACTAACGGTTCGCGATAAAAACGATTGGTTGGCTAGTTTCCGACAAGTGGTCATGCCTAAATCAGATGATCCACGTAAAATACAAATGGATGAAGCGAAAAGACGTGCAAGAATCCCTGTTGAATTTGACAAACTTCTTATTGATTCATTGAAACTAGCATTTCAGAAGGAAGATATTGATTTTGATGATGATGCAATGTTACTTGAATGTTACGAAAAACATAACAAAACTCTTCAGGAAAATATACCATCTGAACGTCTTTTGGTATATCATATTGGAGATGGTTGGGAACCACTGTGTAGATTCTTGAATGTGGATGTGCCAGCTAATATACCATTTCCCGAGACCAATCATCACGCTGACTTGCAAAAGCTAAGGGAATTGACGAAGAAATTAGGATCGATTGAAGAAGTCGCTAGAATTCATCCAGGAATTGTATAAAACTGAAGTATACACAGATTGTACTAAACATTGACGTTATTATTAACTAAGAAATAAATTGTCATCAAGCTTTGAATTCCACTTTCTCATTGACAACCATGGTAATATTAGTGAAACATATAGTCAGTATATTAAACTAAAATTTTGAAATTCCTAACTATTTTCTCACCATACATCATGATGTATATAAGCACAGTTTGTTAACAACGGTCAAATAACTGAATGTAGAGATGAGGTGATTGAATATACGGTGAGAAAATGTAACTCGACTACGTTTAGTTTTCTTGAAAAGAATGTAATATTAATGGAACAATAATTTCTCGAGCCCTGTCCGAAAGTCACTCACTCACACATACACTGAAACGTATTTACTTGCTCAAAACGACTGGTATTCTCTGGGACCATTAGGTCACGTTGTTTTATAGGAAATCAAGGTGTCTGATACTACTATATTGCCAGATAACAACATATTACATGAGATGTGCTAGTTTATAGCCAAGGCCAAATTGCTACAAATGCTACAGGTCATACTGTATTAAGTTGCCCAATGACGATGACATGTTATAGTGGACATGAGCAGCATAAACAAAGGCTAAGTCTCCATATATGAAATAAAAATTTCAGTATGACTTATGAGTCCAATACGATGGCTGACGTGCTTTTAAAGAGCTACGTTGCGACGGCCAAGTGGTAATCTTTATAATACGTAATTCACAGTGAACGGTGTTTCTACATTCACACTTATTAATGAGAGTGAAAAACAAAAATAACCAGACAAAAAGACAAGATAAGAACATTCATTATCTCTGTAATAACTATCGGCATACCACATTGAAAATAAATGTCTGACTGCACAATCGCTTGTTGAGATATTTATATGTGAAGAATAACAGTCGGACCAGACTAGTTGTTTAACAAATCACTGTAACTTCAAAGAGAGAATAAACGATGTCAGGTTAAACCGATTAAGTTGGAATTTTCTCGCCATTAAAACTGCAAAATACTGAGGTATTTGACCCAGACAGCAAGAACTAAAAATACGCGCTTAGATGACACTACAAACGGACAACCAATCTTTATTGAAATATCTCAATGAGCAATCGATTCGTAGCTCCATTCTATCACAAACTTGATCAATTTTAGTTATACATCACACAGAAACAACGTAATCCTAATTATCTAACTAATATATTTACAATATCTCATCAGGATTCATTTCCTCTCTCCGGTATTCCTGTTAGCCATCTTGGTTCTTGTGTTCATGTTGATTCATAATATCTCAGTTAGTTTATTGATTAGGAGCGATGTGACAGACGGCAAGACAAACTGTTTCAATCGCCGTTTCGTTTATTTTCACTTGTTGATAATGATCTACATTCTTAAACTGAGTAGACAATCATTTTGGATGAAAGATAATTCTACACAATGATCATTTTCACTGAGTACATTTATTCTGGCATAAACCTAAATACCTCGTCAAAATGCTATTGAATCCTATGAAGTGAATTTCAATTATTCTTATAAACAGGTGTAGCCGTAATTATTTATTTGCTATGTTGTTATTAATCCATTAAAATGGCTTTGAAAGTCAAACCAACGGTCATTCAGCATCATAATCAGAAACTTCAATACGCACGTCGAAATTGTTGTAAATTACGGAGTCGAAACTGGAAGAATTACTTCGGCCAACATCAAACAGGCACACGAATTTATAAACAATCAAGCAATCATGACACTCTTGATGTTTAGAACAAATCAATCCATCGCTCAGAACGAAATTGCGACAAGACTCTATAGGTCGATAGGACATAAATTGTGGGAATCAAACTGAGTCTTGAGTTATTCGCTAGCTCGGAATCGTGAAGAGAAAAGGATTTGATGATGACTCCAGGAAACATTGTGTCGGGAATCGCTGGCAGACATCAAAAGTATTGTGAAGTCACTGGTAACAACTAGAAACGTGAGACCAGTAGGAGTTGGCTGCACAATCTTGGCCAGCGCTTTAGCATTCTTTATGTAGATGAATTTTTTAAATTAACTTACTAACTTACTAACTTACGGCTGTTACTCACAATAGAGGTTGGGCCGCCAAACCAGCATTTTCCAACCCACTCTGTTCTGTGATTTCCTTTCCAATTCCATTCAATTCTTGTTCATTTTTCTCATGTCTATCTCCATTTCCCGGCGTAATGTGTTCTTTGGTCTTCAAATATTCCTTTGGCCTTGCGGATTCCATGTGAGGGCACGTCTTGTGACGCAGTTGGGTGCTTTCCTCGATGTGTATCCCATCCACTTCCAGCGCTTCTTCTTGAGTTCTTTCTCCACTACGATCTGTTTTGTTCTTTCCCACAGTTGGTTGCTGCTAATAGTGTCCAGGCTACGGATCCAAAGGATTTTGCGTAGACAACTGTCAATGAAAACCTGTATCTTATGGATGATGACTTTCTTAGTTCTCCAGGTTTCTGCCCCATACAGTTGAACTGTCTTGACACTTGTATTGAAAATCCTGACCTTGGTGTTGGTTGACAGTTGCTTTAAGTTTCAGATGTTCTTCAGTTGTAAATATGCTGCTCTTGCTTTGCTGATTCGCGCCTTCAAATCTGCATCAGATCCACCCTGTTCATCGATGATGCTTCCCAAATGTGTAAAGGTTTTAACATCTTTCAAATCTTCTCGGTCAATTGTGATTGGATTAGTGCATGCTGTGTTGTATCGAAGAATTTTGCTTTTCCCTTTGTGTATATTGAGACCTACTGCTGCTGAGGCTGCTGCTACACTGTTCGTCTTCTCCTGCATTTGTTGTTGCAATTGCGATAGGAGGGCCAGATCATCTGCGAAGTCTAGATCGTCCAGCTGCATCCTAGATATCCACTGTATCCCGTGCATTCCTTCAGATGTTGACGTCTTCATGATACAGCCAGTCATCAGGAGAAAGAGAAAATGTGAGAGTTAGCAACCTTGCCTGACACCGGTTTTCACCTCGAACAACTTTGTCAATTGTCCTCCATGCATATTTTTGCAGTCTTATCCATAATAGGAATTCCGTATGATATTGACTATCTTCTGAGACACCCAGTAGTATCGAAGAAGCTTCCATAGTGTTTTTCTGTCCACGCTATCAAATGCTTTTTCGTAGTCAATGAAGTTGATGTAGAGAGATGAATTCCATTCAATTGATTGTTCCACAATGACCCGTAGAGTTGCGATCTATCTTGAAGGAATCCTGCCTGTTGGTCTCAAAGTTGGGTGTCTACGGAGTCCTTCATTCTGTTCAACAATCATCTGTTGAAGACGTTTCCCGACTCTGGGAGAAGAGTGATGCCCCTGTAGTTATCACAGTTGCTGAGATCGTCTTTCTTTAGTATTTTGACCAGAAGTTCTTCTTTTCAGTCTGTTGGTACTTGTTCCCCATCTCAAACATTGCTGAACAGAATGTGGAGCTGGTCGATTCAATAGTACTTTTATATACTGTACCCACCTGTTTCGTTGTTCTTCTGTAATAGTGACTACCTTGCCTTCCTTACTTTTCATTTGTCGTTCTAGTGTACGATGATTTCCAGACAGTTTCTTTGTCGTGTCATTCAGTTGTCTCATGTTTCCTTCTCTTACAGCCTTATTCGCCGTCTTCCACATATTGACATTTGTTGGTTCTGATGCTCCTCTTCATTTGCTTGTTACTTTCTGTGTATTCAGCTTGTGCCTTGACTTTCTCTGCTCTTTTTCGGCTGGTATTCATTGCTGCCTTCTTGTTCCTCCTTTTTTGAATCTTATCCAGTGTACCAACAGGGATCCATTCCTTGTGATGATGCTCCTTGTGGCTCAGAACCTCATGGCATGTTGAAGTGATTATCTCTTTGTTTCCTTTCCATTTGCTCTCCATAGTGGTTTCTTCTTCATTGAGTAGATGATGCGAGGCCTGGAACTTACTGCTGAGGACTATCTTGAATTCGTTGCGTTTATCAGTACCACGAAGTGAAGCCGTATTAAACATTTCTGATATTGCCCTCCCCGTTGTGCAGTACGTCTTGAGTTTCAATTTAATCTTGGTGACCAGCAAGTGATAACATGATGCTATACCAGATCCTCTCCTGGTTCTAACTTCCTCCATCGTCTTTCTGAACATTTTGTTGACGGCGATATGGTCGATTTGGTATCGCGTGGTGTGATTCGGTGAGGTCCATGTGGTTTTGTGAATGCGTTTATGTGGAAAAATAGTGCCGCTTATGACCAGTTTATTGAAGGCACATAGGTTTACAAATCTCTCTCTATTTTCGTTCCTTTCTCCCAGTCCGTGTCGTCCCACGATGTCTTCATATCCGGTGATGTCCATCTCAACCTTGGCATTTAGATCTCCCATCAGAATGGTCAAATCCTTTGTTGGGCACTTCTCGACGATTGACTGCAGCCTATCGTCGAAATGATCCTTAACGTCCTCATTGTAGTCGCTTGTAGGCGCATAGCATTGGATGACGTTCATTGTAGTGCCCTCTTTCTTTGTTTTGAAGGAGGCTTTGGTGGTCTTTGTTCTATGAGATTCGCATACTATTAGTGCATTTTGTGCTTGTTTGGACAGCATCAGTGCAACTCCTCGTGTATGTGGGGCATTTTCTTCTTCATGGCCGGAGTATAACAGAAGCTCTCCTGAAGCTAGTCGTTGTTGTCCAACTTGCATCAAATGTGTTTCATTGATCCTAAGCACCTCCAGGTTGTGTCTTCTCATTTCTACAGCCATTTAGAATACTCTCCCTGTCTCCCACATTGTACGAGCATTCGATGTACCTAAATAATTGGTTGCGCCGGTTGTCAGAAGGGGCATCCGTTTCGTGATCTTCAAAAGAAACCCAGATTTCATCATGAAGCGTTATGGTTCTTCTAGATGAAGATCTTCTGATTCCCAGAACAGAGTTACAATTGTTTGAATAATTATTTCTGGTTAGAGTTTGTTTAATTAATACAGTTTTGTGTGTCAAGTCTGTTGCGTACCTCAGGTTAAACTCCCTGTAGTAATGTATTTTAAC